AAATAAAAAATAAAAAATTGAAAAATCAGTAAATTAATATATAGAAAACCAAAAAACGGTAGACAGGACTGCAGGGCATCAATAAACAGGAAATAAAAACAACTAAAATGAGTTGTTATATCTAAATCCACGGATGTGAATCATGTGATGAAGTTATCCATTGATTGAATTTTCATACTATTCTCCTTCACTACTTCCTCTACCACCCCACTCATCTAATGCTCTTAGATTAGCTACAATTCATACAAACCTATAAAGCTTAGATTAGTTGGTAGTTTAGATTTACACCCATGTAAACTAGACTAGTGTTAGACATTCTAAAGGACTTTGTGTTCAAATCCAGAAGGTGAGAAAGGGGCAAAGACATGAGTAACTCTTGGCAAGTCAATGCCAGAAAAACCTTGGGAGGACTGAGTAGCTTGGAATGGTACGGTGTTGATATTCCTTTTGAAAAATCTCACAATCTACGCATGGGCCAAGGGTAGATTGGGCACTAAATGTAAGGGATATTCATTTAGTGAAAATCCATCTGAAATAGGTTGGGACTGGATGTATGATGATTACACCACCTCCGCTGAACCAGGGTATATCTTGTGTCACCTTTTATATTCTGCTCCCAACACACTACTAGAATATATTGTATTTGCTGCGGTCATTTTCAGCCTATTTGCTACGGATTTGAACCGCAGCAATTGCGGGAGCAGCAAAAAGTGGAAAATGTTAATTGCTGCGGGTAGAAACCGCAGCAAAAAGTAATATATTTATTATTAAAAACACTTATTGCTGCGGTTACGGAATAATACTAAAACAACCGCAGCAAATCATAAACTGGTCCAAATGTGTGGCAGTTTATGATCAATAACAGCCAATAATTTATATTATAGCTACATATACGTGGTTTTCTATTCACCACTCAAATGGACACTTTTACAACCAAACAAAATTATTTTCCACTACAAGATACTATTGCTGTCGAAAAAAATTATTATCCACTACAAGACACTTTCTTAAACGTAATATTCTATACAATTACAAACAACTCACTTTTCCAATCCACTAAATACCAATAGACGTCCAATAAAAAGATTATTGACAAGTTTAATAGCAATAAAATTTCCATATTTCTTCCTTGTATCCAATAGTGCTAACTCGGCCACTTGGTGCTTCATTTGATATCCCCATCTCGACAATTTGATCCCACAATATAGATATTGACCCACACCTACAGACCTACAAAAGGCAATTTAATGAGTAAAATGATATCCATATTTGACATTGTCATACATTTAACATGCGATAAAATACCCATGCTCTCTAAAGTAGGAACAAAAGACCCCTTAAAACTAGCAACAAGTTGATAATGGTTATGTACTGTGTTTAGAACATTACTGGTCTTTCTAATCTAAAAATAAAAAATTCCTAATAGTGAAAATAATGGTTATGTACTGTGTTATCTCCATGTATGTTTTCTGGAGTTTTAGTCTCCTTTGTTGATACAATTTTATCAGGTTTTGTGTTCTTTGAACATGCACTTTTTATATTGGATCCCACCAAAAGTTGTAAGTTCTGGTGGATTTTTTAAGGACCAAAATACCTACTCTGGGACAGCCTTCCTAAAGCTGTAATGCACTCCCAGTTTTAGATGCTTTTAATATAAACTACATGAGATCTAATAGAATCCCAACAATGAAGATTAGGCAGTCCTCTAAGCTTACTGATTTTCTAAAATAAGAATGTTATAACTATGACATTCTACTAACAACTCTTATTATTTTCTTATTTTTCTGTTCTAAGGAGAGAATTCTTTGCTTCAGAATACATTGCTAACACATTTAAAACCATCATTCTAAGTCTTTTTTTGAAAGTGAAAGTCTGATTCCTAATCAGTAAGCATAGCTTTAACTATACCTCATATTCTTATATTTATGGTGTAAAGTATATGTGTCAATTCCTATATTTATGGTGTAAAGTAAATGTGTCAATCAAAGAAACTGGTCATATGGAGGGTTTGTTTGCCTTTTAATCCTACCGATAAACTATCATTTTTTTTCTTTTCTATCATTACTTGATTATCGTAATGGAAAAAACTGAATAAAATCTTCTTTTTTAGTTATTCATTTAATTATGATAAGTAATGAGAACTAATAGTTTAATTTGAGGGGTGAAAATACATGGTTATACAGTTTAGTTTAGTTTACATATATGTTTATTATAAAGTAAAGTTTTTTCCCTTTATAAAATCCAGTTTAAAACGATCAGAAAGTTGATAGTAGGTAAACACGAAAAGAAGCTCCTCAATGAAGCAAAATTTAACAAACACCAGCAGCCACTTAAAGCTATAGACAACTCAAAGAAGAGAAAATTTCAGCAATGTCAAATAGTAGGAGAAGACTAAAATACTTCACCCTTTTAGCTCAAGCTCTCATGGTTAGCATTCTAGGTCAGGAATCCATCAAAAGCTACTATTTGAAACGGTATGGTATGGTAATCGTTTGAGATATGTTTGCATTATTTCAAGTATCTATCTATATATATATATATATATATATATATATATATTAATCCACTTAAGTCATCTTCCCGCTCATTCCTAAGGGCATTTTTGTAAACTCTGATGGGCTTTCATTCTTCCAATAAACTCTCGCCTATCTCGCGTACAGTTTGGACTTACGGAGTAGGAGTTCTTCTTCAGTTTTCTGGCTTTTCCCTAACCTTGGAGTCTCGGTTAGATCTTTCTCTTTCTACTAAGGCTTCTGGGATTTCCTCAATGCAAACAAGTGAGTCTCCTGCGAAACACTCCTGCCGACTCTGCTCAAGCTAGAAAGCAACCTCACATATTCGGGTAAATTCTCATATATTCTTTGATTATTTTGGATGCATTTGGATTTCCTTTTCTCATCTAACACTGCGTCTGGATTTCCCTTCCGATAGCCCACCTTCTAGCAGCTCTCTCTCTCTCTCTCTGAATGGTTTTTTAGTTTTTACTTCAACGATTTCAACATATGGTAATATGCTAAAGTCAACGAATCTCTCAACTCTATACTTTAATATTTATCTATGACATTTCGTTTTAGCTTACTGAATAATCAATTCTGATTCCCCCAAATATTTGTTATTCACTATCTACCCATTCCCATTATTTTATGAATGACTTTAAATTTGTTTTCAATTATTCAATTTTACAGTTTAGGTCCATACTAGGGATGGGGAAAAATACCGAAACCGCCGAAATACCGCTCTTACCGTACCGTAAAATACCGATTTTACCGAAATTTTTCCTTACCGTAAATTTTGGTAAGGTATGTTACCGTACCGAACTATTTCGGTACGGTATCGGTATATACCGTATAAATTTTTGGTATACCGAAATACCGTAATCCCATATAAATAATTACATTTAGTTATAATTTTGTCTGTTGGGCCAAAAACAGTCCACCGCCATTAGCCCACTTTGGCCAAGATCCACTCTCCAAAGTCCAAAAACTAGGTCTATGGTCGTGTGGAAACTGTGAGTCTGCGAAGAATTGGAAGAGCCGATAGGGTTTCAGAGAGTTGTGGACTTCATTCTCCACTCATAATCGAGCTCCACTCTCAACTCTCCAATACGTAATCGAGCTCCCGGCGGCGAGTATTTCTTGAAGAAGAGCGGAAGCGTAGGAGAAGCAGCGGCCAGGCGTGGTCGCGTGGACTTAATTCTGATACGAAAGGTATTAATCAATCACTTCCTTCTGTGTTCTTATATGAAAACATATTCATTATGAGTAATTAATCTTGTTTGAATTCAAAGAGAGGTTTGCTAGAGGGGCTATGCCATTTTCTGGAACCAGTTAGACGTTGGTTACAAAAACCATACTATGTATATGATTTATGAATGTATAACCATTTTACTAATCAGTTAAAGAAGCTCCTCACATTTTGCCTCTGTCAATGGTAACTTCAGTCCTACCTGTAACATGTCCAAACAAAATGAGTATGTCAACTTACACATGACATAATAAGCTATATAACTATATTGTATATGTATATAATAACACAACTGCAAACTCACTTCACTAAAGATTTGACTGTAAGAAGAAGTTTGTGCAAATCCTTGTAATAACATTAAAGGTTTGCTAGAAATTTTTGTTGAGAATACAAGTGATGAACTGTTAGTAACACATGCTACCGCCGAGGCAGCTGTTGGGGTTTTAGCTGCCTTGTTTAAAACTCCACTTGATGTGGTTAACACTGAGCTGCAGTGTCGGGAGACTAAGACTTATGTGGATGTAGCATATGTAAAAGTAGTTTAATTAGGGATGATCTCAAAGCAGCTGTAAAGAAAGATGGGTATTGAAGTATTCTTTGTTTGTAGTTTGGTTTCTGATTGGTTGCTGACTCAGTATTTTCTTTTTAAGCGGCCTGAGGGTTGCTACCTCGTATCTCTCTCTTTGTTTCTAGGTTCTTTCCACTTTCTAAATTGTTTGCAATATGCTTTCTGATAGGTCTTTGAATGGATGCAATACTTTTACCCAGTTTACCCTGCCATTTGCTTGTCAGACTGAAAAAAGATCCATATTTCATATTCATGCTTTAGCATTATTACTGTTACAAATTTTTGCTTCACGGAATTATTACTGTTTTGAGATGTGAATATACCCCCAACCCCTGAAGTATGTTACATAACAACAAATCATCTCTGGTCTTTGAATTTTAGGTGACAAAAACAACACAACTATCTACCATTCTTTGAGAGCAACCTGGACTTAACTTGCTCTGCTAGAAGGGACAACTTGCAAGTCATATATCTAAAGTCTAATTTTCAGCATGGATGCAGGTCAATGGTCATATATCTTTACTCCAATTTTATACATGTGTGTGTATAAGTAAATAAATGTTGTGATAGATGCATTTGTTTACAATCTGACAAACTAATTATTTGTTTTTATTTCAGAAGTAAGAATGGAATCTCAATCATCTCATTCTCTTCCAACTCCAACTGAATCACCAGACATCGTAGAATCTGAATCGCTTGAAGCTGGTACTAGTCGGAAACGAGCAAGGAACAAAACAGCAGCACTTAAGCCCCCCGTTTCACAAACTCGAAGCATCTTTTGGGATCATTGTAAAAAGGGGTCAAGGACCTTGTTGGATGGCACCATTCAACCAATTGGAACTTGCAATTATTGTGAGACGCAGATCCCAGCAGGTCATGGCAGCACTAGTGGGTTGAAAAACCACTTAGTGAACAGGTGCAGATCGAGTCCCTTGTACAAAGCAGCTGAAAGTGACAAAAATCAGCCTGTGTTGACAAATGAGAAAATGGGGCAGGTCACTGAATTGGTTTCTCATACTTTCAATCAAAAAAGGTGTGAGTTGAAGCTTACAGAATATGTTATTATCGATGAGATGTCATTCCGAGCTGTTGAAGGGAAGGGCTTCGTAAGTCTTGTGCATGAATTGCAACCAAGATTCAGAATCCCAGATCGTAAGAAGGTGGCAGGTATGGTTTATGACTTGTTTTTAGTTGAGAAAGCTAAAATAAAAAGTGTCATAACTGGGCAAAGGGTAAGTATCACAACCGATACATGGACTTCCATCCAGAACATAAATTACATGGTTGTTACTGCTCACTTTTTGGACAGTGATTGGAAACTGCATAAAAGAATAATTAACTTCACAAAAATCACTAGTCATGTTGGTGAAGATATTGGTAAGGTGGTTGAGGTGTGTCTGAGAGAGTGGGGGATTGAAAAAGTATTTTCGATAGTAGTTGACAATGCTACTTCAAATGATACAGCTATTGACTACTTGAAAAAGAGAATGAAAATTGAAAATACATTGATGTTTGAAGGAAAGTACTTGCATTTGAGGTGTGGGTGTCATATACTCAATCTGATTGTTAAGGATGGTCTCAAAGAACTCAATGCTTCAATTGAATCTATAAAGAATGCAGTTCTTTTCATTCATTCTTCACCATCTAGGTTGCATAAATTTAGAGAGTTTGCCGTATTAGCAAAGTTTTCTAATACATCAACTGTGCCTATGGATATAAAAACAAGGTGGAATGCAACATATAAAATGCTTGAAGTTGCATTGAAGTTTAGGAGGGTGTTTGAAAGGATGGCTGAAGAGTGGTTACCATTTATTAAGTACTTTCGTGAAAAAAATGAAAAGGGTAAAGTACGAGTAGGGCCTCCAAGTCATGAAAATTGGGAGAATGCTAAAGCTTTTGTGCACTTTTTAAAAAAGTTTTATGATGTCACCTTAGAGTTAAGTGCATCAAAAACTCCCACCTCCCAATTGCTTTATCAATCCATGATTGCACTGCAAATTGAGATAGAAAAAAAGAAAAATGACAAGTCTGACCCAATTCTCCAGGAGGTGGCTGGTAAAATGATGCTGAAGTTTCAAAAGTACTGGGGCGAATGGAATACTATTGTAAATCCTGTAATTTTTATTAGCAATATTTTGGACCCAAGAAATAAGCTCCAGATGATTAAAGTCAGTATGAAGAAACTGCCAGCTACTTCTACAAAGGTCCAGGATTTTGTTGATAAAGTCAAAAGTGACTTGGCGACTCTGTGGGCAGAATACAAAGGCATAAATGAGACCACTAATGTTGAGCGGCAAAATATGCAATTGGAGTTGGAAGGTGGAGCTGGTACTAGTAATGCGGGTGATGGTCTTTGGGATGAGTTGTTTACCGACGTTGAAGCACAAAATCAAGAAGAACAACTCCAAGAGATCGATTTCTAATGAGGTAGATAAGTACCTAGCTGATGAGATTGAGAAGAGATCTAATCAATCTTTTAATCTTTTGGAGTGGTGGAAAGGAAGTGAAACTAGGTATCCAATTCTTTCATTGATTGCAAAAGATATTTTTGCGATACCAAGTTCAACGGTTGCTAGTGAGTCTGCTTTCAGTTTAGGTAAAAGAGTTGTTGATCCCTTTAGAAGCAGTTTAAGTCCTAAAATGGTTGAAGCTTTGGTTTGTACGAATGATTGGTTAAGAGCAGAGGATTTCAGCTTTTATAAGGATCCAACTGATGATGACCTTGAGTTGTATAAAGAGATTGAAGAAATTGAAAAGAGTAATTTTTTATAACACATTAAGTTTAGATTAAAATGATAAATTTTGATGTTAATCTAATGTTTCTTTATGTTTCTTCTACAGATGCAAATGTCACTCAGGAACGCTCGCAGACTTCCTCTCACACATAGGCATGTTCTAATTTGCAGTTAGTAGGTTCATAATGCATTATTGCCCATTGAATTCAGCGTTTAATATGCTTTTATATGCAGTATTAACTATTAAGTAAGCAATCATTTATAAATTTCATTAGCAGTATTAACTATTAAGTAAGGCTTCTAACTGTCATAGACTGTAGTGTATACATTTCATGAGTAGTATAAACTGGAATGGGCAACCGTAGTTGAAGTTCATGCACTGATTATTCCCTTTTACTCTATAACCCTTCAATATTTAATTGTTATTTGATGATTTTGTATGTAATTAGTTCGTCTGAATAATAAAAAAACATATTTTGTTTCATCCCAAATAATATATTCTGATCTTTGTGACAGAGTGCTGGTGAAACTGTTTAGTGATTACACAACCAACAGTGTTGGATGTACTGTTTTTCTTTGGAAAAACATAGTCAATTTTCGAAATTTGGCTATGAACCTTTTCCTTACTAATAGTCATTTTACACGGAAAAATCTGTAAAAATGAACCACTTCCTAGGCTGTAAGGTGGTTTTACAGTGAATAAGTGAAGTATATTTACTAATGAAGAAAAAAATAAGTAAATTTCTGGAACTGGTTCATTTTAATTTGTCTTTGTATTATCAGCTCACACCTTTTTTGATTGAAAGTATGAGAAACCAATTCAGTGACCTGCCCCATTTTCTCATTTGTCAACACAGGCTGATTTTTGTCACTTTCAGCTGCTTTGTACAAGGGACTCGATCTGCACCTGTTCACTAAGTGGTTTTTCAACCCACTAGTGCTGCCATGACCTGCTGGGATCTGCGTCTCACAATAATTGCAAGTTCCAATTGGTTGAATGGTGCCATCCAACAAGGTCCTTGACCCCTTTTTACAATGATCCCAAAAGATGCTTCGAGTTTGTGAAACGGGGGGCTTAAGTGCTGCTGTTTTGTTCCTTGCTCGTTTCCGACTAGTACCAGCTTCAAGCGATTCAGATTCTACGATGTCTGGTGATTCAGTTGGAGTTGGAAGAGAATGAGATGATTGAGATTCCATTCTTACTTCTGAAATAAAAACAAATAATTAGTTTGTCAGATTGTAAACAAATGCATCTATCACAACATTTATTTACTTATACACACACATGTATAAAATTGGAGTAAAGATATATGACCATTGACCTGCATCCATGCTGAAAATTAGACTTTAGATATATGACTTGCAAGTTGTCCCTTCTAGCAGAGCAAGTTAAGTCCAGGTTGCTCTCAAAGAATGGTAGATAGTTGTGTTGTTTTTGTCACCTAAAATTCAAAGACCAGAGATGATTTGTTGTTATGTAACATACTTCAGGGGTTGGGGGTATATTCACATCTCAAAACAGTAATAATTCCGTGAAGCAAAAATTTGTAACAGTAATAATGCTAAAGCATGAATATGAAATATGGATCTTTTTTCAGTCTGACAAGCAAATGGCAGGGTAAACTGGGTAAAAGTATTGCATCCATTCAAAGACCTATCAGAAAGCATATTGCAAACAATTTAGAAAGTGGAAAGAACCTAGAAACAAAGAGAGAGATACGAGGTAGCAACCCTCAGGCCGCTTAAAAAGAAAATACTGAGTCAGTAACCAATCAGAAACCAAACTACAAACAAAGAATACTTCAATACCCATCTTTCTTTACAGCTGCTTTGAGATCATCCCTAATTAAACTACTTTTACATATGCTACATCCACATAAGTCTTAGTCTCCCGACACTGCAGCTCAGTGTTAACCACATCAAGTGGAGTTTTAAACAAGGCAGCTAAAACCCCAACAGCTGCCTCGGCGGTAGCATGTGTTACTAACAGTTCATCACTTGTATTCTCAACAAAAATTTCTAGCAAACCTTTAATGTTATTACAAGGATTTGCACAAACTTCTTCTTACAGTCAAATCTTTAGTGAAGTGAGTTTGCAGTTGTGTTATTATATACATATACAATATAGTTATATAGCTTATTATGTCATGTGTAAGTTGACATACTCATTTTGTTTGGACATGTTACAGGTAGGACTGAAGTTACCATTGACAGAGGCAAAATGTGAGGAGCTTCTTTAACTGATTAGTAAAATGGTTATACATTCATAAATCATATACATAGTATGGTTTTTGTAACCAACGTCTAACTGGTTTCAGAAAATGGCAAAGCCCCTCTAGCAAACCTCTCTTTGAATTCAAACAAGATTAATTACTCATAATGAATATGTTTTCATATAAGAACACAGAAGGAAGTGATTGATTAATACCTTTCGTATCAGAATTAAGTCCACGCGACCACGCCTGGCCGCTGCTTCTCCTACGCTTCCGCTCTTCTTCAAGAAATACTCGCCGCCGGGAGCTCGATTACGTATTGGAGAGTTGAGAGTGGAGCTCGATTATGAGTGGAGAATGAAGTCCACAACTCTCTGAAACCCTATCGGCTCTTCCAATTCTTCGCAGACTCACAGTTTCCACACGACCATAGACCTAGTTTTTGGACTTTGGAGAGTGGATCTTGGCCAAAGTGGGCTAATGGCGGTGGACTGTTTTTGGCCCAACAGACAAAATTATAACTAAATGTAATTATTTATATGGGATTACGGTATTTCGGTATACTGAAAATTTATACGGTATATACCGATACCGTACCGAAATAGTTCGGTACGGTAACATACCTTACCAAAATTTACGGTAAGGAAATTTTTTGGTAAAATCGGTATTTTACGGTACGGTAAGAGCGGTATTTCGGCGGTTTCGGTATTTTTCCCCAGCCCTATATGTACTAACCATTTCCCAATCAAGTAGCATGTTTGGTTGAGGTCTTGAGGATAATAGTAATTTGACAAGGTCACGAGTTTTCAAAAGCCAACATACATATAAATATCATTCTGAAAATTTGGAACCAATTATTATCCTCAAGTTGCACATTTGTTTAACCATTCTTTGCTAAGGCCAAATTGCACATTTGTTTTTATTATTGTTGATGTCAAAGGTTCCAGTTTATGCATTTCTATAATAATTAGGTGTAGCATTATATTACATGTATACTCTATAATGGTAATGTTTATAAATGTGTTATTGGTACTTAGGTGGCCGTTCTCAAGTATACATACACTTTGGAAAGCAAAGTGAGTTTCTGGATGTTAAACTAGATATTGACTAAAACTCATACACATAATCTGGATGCTATGTGTTTCTTCTTCATATCGGCTCACGTGTAACTTTTAGTTCCTCAAACTACGGAGTATTAAAACTACTTTTCAAATGATAGAAATGCTCTTAAAAATGCATAACATGAATCTAATTTGAGATTCTGCTGAGTGTTTAGCAGGATAAATGACAAAAAATGTCAATCTTCTTTCCACTAATAAGGATGACAAACAATAAAAATATCACATATAACAACACTAACCTTTCTTTTAGTTACAACTGAAAAGATAAATGAAAATAAATATTAC